CAACGTATTTTTAAAGAAAATATATTTAATAATTGTTCTTTTATATTTAATATTAATAGTAAATAGAATTTAATTAACATATTAAACTTTTTTTTAACTATTTTAAGTAATAACTTATATTGTAATATCATGGTCGAAGTATAAATAAACTCTGCCGTGACAAATTACTCCACGGACAAAGTATAATAATCATATACGGCCGTGTAATTATGATTTTTTACCTGATATCGGCTTTATCAATGCACAGAACAGTGAAATTCGATACACCGGATTAAACTTCAATCCAGTTATATTAAAAATTGGTTTGATATGACGTATCACGTGATAATTTTCATGCACATATATACTGTAATATTTTTTTTTTTTTTTTTTTATCATTTACCGTTTATTTCTATAAAGTTTGGAGAAAGTTAGAAACTACTACTAATGATAATTTAATTCTCATATAAATCGAGAAACCTTTTAAATTTTACAAATTTATCACAACGGATTTTCATGTGATTTACATGACATGAAATCGGGTACATCAAAATTTTTTTGCCATACTAGTATACCGGATATTTTGACCGTTAACGGATGATTCCGGTATCGAATTTCACTATGAACCGTTGAGACATTTCGAACAACCACATTTTTCGTATCACCGGGCTTACTAATTATTATACGGTTTTGTAAAGAGCCTCACATTTTTACAGCTATTATAATTCCTGGACCACCCGGTTTATTTTTGTTCCGGAGATAAATTTTTTCATACGCAGTCATACGCACAGGATTTATAAATGATCGACAGTATTTCCTTATATGAATGTTTATGTAATACATTATAATTCAGTTAAACAAACATACGGACTTTTTTTTTTTTTTTTTTTTGTCATGACTGAACTATCTACGCATACCCATTGGCAAATAGTTAGTTGAAAAATCGTTGGCAGGTTTATCAGAACGCCAAATCGCTAGACATTTAGGAATTAGCAAGACTACTGTACACCGCGTTTATCACCTTTTTAAAAAATACGGATGTGTAAAAAACATTTCAACTTTGCGTGGAAGACCAAGAATTTTTGGAAATGATGATATGAAATATCTTGAAGTACTTCTCAAAGAAAAAGTAGATTGGTATATTTGGGAATTGCAATCTCAAATGGAACTTTGGTTAGAACGAAACCTTGACCTCAATACAATATGGAGAGCAATACATCGCCTTGGATATACACATAAACAAGTATAACTAAATATTTATAACAATAATATTTTTGCATTATTATTTATATTATAATCATTGTATATACTATGTATTGTAGTTATCTAAACCCGCCCAGGAGAGGAAAGAAAATGAACGTGCAGAATTTATTTTATGTATATCTCAGAGTTTTTTTCTGATGAATCAGCTTATGATAGGAAAACTTTATCACGCCGGTATGGATGGAATATTAGTGGACATCGTGCAAGAAAAGCTACATTTTTGTTAGAGGACAGAGATTTACAATTGAAGGTGCATTGTGTGTAAATGGCCTGTTAGCGTATAGCATTCAAGAAGGATCGATGAAATCTGATGATTATGAATATTTTATTGAAAATATTTTGGTATGTTCTTTTTAACAAATTTTCATGCTAAAGCAAATATAAAATTTAACACATTTAATGTATTCTTTATAATAAGCTGCCAAAAATGTTACCATATCCTGCACAATACTGTGTTTTAATTTTAGATAATGCATCTATACATAAGAGTCAATAATTACGAAATATTTGTGAGGAAAAAGGAATATGACTTGAATTTTTACCCCTATTCTCCTGATTACAATCCAGTATGTAAGAATTTAGTTATTTCATTTGATATTATAATTTTTTTAATTAAGTCATTTACTGCGCCACCTTAAAAATGAAAAATAATTTCAAAAATTTGTCAAAAAAAAAAATTCACTGAAAGTACAACATATAGTTTATCTCAAATTATTTACGTGCGTACATAAACATGTTTCACATGACGAAACGGTAATAAAAAACTTTATTCAAACTTTTTTTTAAAATGGGACGATTCACAAAACCAATGAAAGTACTTTAAAACAAGCTGTTAACGAACATCTAACTTCCTTCAGCAGTAACAGCAGTGTAATTAGCTTAAAGTATCCAAAGCTCTACGAATACTAAAAAAAAAAAAAAAAAAAAATTTAGGAGTCGAGCCATCTAAACAAGGTTTCAGATTTAATATTTCCTTTTAGATAATATGAAAGATCTTTATTGAGATTGTGTCGGTCGTGTTTCTTTATTGATCTAAATTTAGGAGAATTGCGTCTTTATTTTGTGACAAAGTTCGTATTTGCAATACCTTCAAATAAAAGATGTGAAGCTATGTAAATGAATTAATAATATTTGGAATGATCCTCCTAAAAGTACGGAAGATGGCGAAATGTGGATCATCGGTAAATATTTGACCATTATGATGCTGATCCTGAACTTACAGGCATGGATTTCTTCCATCAAGAAACTTCTTTGATGTGCGTCTTTAGACAATTTCGATAATCTATTAAATGAAAGAGAAATGGCAAGAATTTGTTTAATCTTCGTTTTACGAACACAACAAATCTGAGCTAAAAATATCCAGATAATAAAATTTTTGATTATCAGTTTTTTTTTTTGTTTTTTTTTTTAAAAGGTAAATAAATATATTTTTGAAAATTTTGTTATAAAATGACATGAGCTTTTCTTTGCTTTCCTTTCCTTTTATTTTATTTTTTTTACAAAAGCGCAAATCATTCAAGTGATAACGATAACGATAAAAAAAAAAAAATTATAAAATGAAAACCTTTATCATCTTTATCTTGTTACATGTGCGTTAATTTATTTCAAACATCTTTTGATCTTTTCTTTTTATATAATAATATTAACAATTTTTTGTTAAATATTAGGTACTTGTGATCTCAGCTCAACAAGTAAAATTACCATACCATACTCTCATGATTCCTCCAAATACGTTATGGGCAAAATGCGCTAAAGCTCCAAAAATGGCGAGTACGTATCGAACGTTTTATATTTACCAATGCACAAATTATAATTAAAAAAACTTTTTCTTATATTAGGCTACGCTATAAAATTAAGCCAAAATAAAGCTTTAGATCCGACTTATTATGACGGCAAATACTATCAAATAGACTATGAATATACAAAAGTGATTTCTCAAGCAAAATATGGATTTTTTGCTGAGTTGTCTAATACTACAATAGCTATTCCACAATCACGATGTGGAACAGGTAATTCTAATGAAGAAATTACAGGTTTGGCAACTGCTTGCATGAGGCAATTTCCAATTCCATATCCTGGACCATGGTGCTTAGCGATTGGTAACACACACAATTTTGCTCAAACTGTTGATGTTGTTCTTTCGTTTACTCAAAGTGTGTTTGTAGAAGGTACATATCGAACAGATTCTAGTACAGACAAAGCCTTCACCTTAGGAAAGAGTAGTCTAACTGGCACCTTTGATAACAATAACAAAAGGAGAAATATTAAGCGTAGCAACCCCCTTCGTCTTGGTCGCTCCTTTTAAATTAAATCAACTTGTATAACAATTGTTGTCATATTTTTTGTTATATTCATCATGATATGAATATGCCTGATTTACAATTTAAATAAAAATATTATACTATCTGATATTCAAGCTATTGAAATATTGAAGTTTTTAAGAAATACCACCAAAGCGATCTCTAACTTTTTCACATTACATGTCTAGTACAGTTGAGCAAATTCGTACGCATATTGAATAAATGTGATAACTATTATAGTGTGATTTTTTCATAACGAACGAACGAACAAATAATATTCAAACTCTCTAACAAATTGTTTTCTGAATAAAAGAACCATAAAACGGTCTAAAAACAACGTCATAATTAGACACGTGATTTATTATGCACGTCTCTTTATTTTTGTTATCTTTGTTCTTAACTTTGTTTATAATATAAAACGTAAAGAAATAGGCGCAGTACGATTTTTTTGTGAAAGGAATATGTTATGAGTATAATAATAAAAGAAGAATGGTTTCAACGAATTACTAATTCCCAAAGAGAAAACATCGTTAATATATTGATTTTTTTTTTTGTAAGGTCAATTTTGCCAGAGGTTGGGATGCTAAAGATCACGGTCATGATCGGCCATGACCGGTCATAATCATGATCGATATAGGTCAAAGGTTTCTGACCGACTCGGTTTTTATTCAACCATTATTTTTAAAATGGGAAGATTCACAAAAACCAGCGAAAGTACTCTACTAACGAACATCTCATTTCCTTCAGCAGTAACAGCAGTGAAATCAGCATAGAGTATCCAAGGATCTACTCTACAATACTAAAAAAAAAATAAAAAAAAGAAATTGCTTGGAGTTTAGAGCCATCTAAACATGGTTTTCAGATTTAATATTTCCTTTTAGATAATATGAAAGATCTTTATTGAGATTATTTACTCAAGACAATTGTTGGTCGTGTTTCTTTATTGATCTAATTTAGGAGAATCGCGTCTTTATTTTGTGACAAAGTTCGTAGTTGCAATACCTTCAAATTAAAGATGTGAAGGAATTTTAAATATTTGGGATGAGCGCCCTAAAGGTACGCAAAGTTGTGCAACAAACGTAACGATGAAAAACATTTGCAATGAAAGTGGCGAAATGTGGATCATTTGATCAAATCGGTACGGTGAGACGAACAAACATTTAGAAAGGTACGCAAAATTCAATAAACGAAACAATGAATAACATATGCACGAAATGTGTATCATTTGATCAAATCGGTACGGTAAGACGAAACAAATATTTGACCTTATGATAACATTAATCTGATCCCGAATTACCAAAATATGCTTTTTGGTAAGAGATTGATAATCAAATTATTTGGCAGACGTTTAGAATAATTTACTGGTACATAAACAAGTAGTAACGGAAATACTTTTGAATTTATTCCACCAAGAAACTTCTTTGATGTGCATCATTAAACAATTTCGATAATCTACTAAGATGAAAGAGAAATGGCAAGAATTTGTTTAATCTTCGTTTGACGAACACATAAAGCTATAAATATTCAGATAATAAAAATTTTTGATTATCAGTTATTTAATTTGTTTTTTTTTTAAAGGTAGATATATATGTATATTTTTTCTTAAAATTTTGTTATAAAATGACATGAACATTTCTTTGCTTCCCTTTTATTTTATTTTATTTTTTTTTTTTTTATAAAGCGCAAAATTCATTCAAGTGATAAAGATAAAAAAAAGCTTGTAAAATGAAAACTTTTATCATCTTTATCTTGTTACAGGTGTATTAATTTATTTCAAACATCTTTTGATCTTTTCTTTTTAAATAATAATTTTAACAAATTTTTTGTTAAATATTAGGTACTTGTGATCTCAGCTCAAGAACCACAAGTGAAAATTACCATACCATACTCTCACGATTCCTCCGAATACGTTTTGGGCAAAATGCGCTAAAGCTCCAAAGATGGCGAGTGCGTATCGAACGTTTTTATATTTGACATTGCATCTAGTATGACTAAAAATACATTTCTTATATTAGGCTACGCTATAAAATTAAGCCAAAATGAAGTTTTAGATCCGACTGATTATGACGGCGATTACTATCCATTAAACTTAGAAAAAATAAAAATAACATCTCAAGCAAAATATGGATTTCATGCTGCGTTGACTAATACTACAGCATATATTATAGAATCAACATGTGGAACAATCACCGCTAATGGTGAAATTACAATATTCAAACTCACTAACAAAATTTTTTCTGAATAAAGGAACCATAAAACGTTTTAAAGTTAATTAGACACTTGATTTATTGTGTTACGTCTCTTTAGTTTTGTTAACTCTTGTTTATAATATAAACGTAAAGAACTGGGAGAAACTATACTATTTTATTTTGTGAAAGGAGTATATAATAAAAGAAGAAAGATTCAATTAACTATCTAATTCCCAAAGAGAAACCATCGTTAATATTGATTTTCTTTTGTAAGGACAATTTACCCAGAGGTTGGGATACTAAAGGTCACGGTCATGATCGGTCATGACCGGTTATAATCATGATCGATATCGGTCAAAGGCTTCTGACCGACTCGGTTTTTTATTCTTAAAATAGAAGATTCACAAAAACCAGCGAAAGTGCTCTACTAACAACATCTCATTTCTTCAGCTGTAACGGCAGTAAAATCAGCATAAAGTATCCAAGGCTCTATTCTACAATACTAAAAAAAATAAATAAATAAATAAAAATAAAAATAAAAAAAAATAAAAATAAACAAAAAAATGCTTGGAGTCTAGAGCCATCTAAACATGGTTTTCAGATTTAATAATTCCTTTTAGATAATATGAAAATCTTTATTGAGATTGCTCACTCAAGACAATTGTTGGTCGTGTTTCTTTTATTGACCTAAATTTAGGAAAATTGTGTCTTTATTTTGTGACAAAGTTCGTATTTGCATACCTTCTAATAAAATATACGAAGTTATATTAATGAATTAATAATATTTGGTATGAGCCCCCTAAAGTATGCAAAGTTGTGCAACAAACGAACAATGAAATGAATATCATTTGCAATTGAATATGGATCATCGGTAAGATGAAACAATATTTGACCATATGATACCATTATATGCTGATCCTGAATTACCAAAGTTTGCTTTTTGGTAGGGAGATTGCTAATCAAGTTATTTGGCAGTTGTTTACCATAATTTTATAGAATTAATTTTACAGGTATAAACAAGTAGTCACAGAAATTCTTTTGAATTTATTCCACCAAGAAACTTCTTTGATGCGCATCTTTAGATAATCTATTAAGATGAAAGAGAAATGGCATGAATCTTCGTTTAACGAACACATAACAGATCTAAGCTAAAATATTCAAATAATAAAAATTTTGATTAGGCCATGCAACTTTGATTTTTTGGTTTTACGTAACATTGAAATTTAAAATCGAAGACCCGGAGTTTATTAATGATTATTTTTTATTAATAAAAAAGTTTATATGCAAATATTATGCCATCTGATTAGTCAATATTTAAGGGGACAAGGCCGTGCAAAGTAAATTTTCAGATTCTGTGACCCGGCCGTGTCAGTTTACGAAAATTCAGGATTTTTTTTTTATATTAAAATTGTTATCATGTGGCTTACATAATAAAATCGGCATATCGGCGAAAGATTTATTTGTGTGATACAGAATATAACAATACATATATAAAAAAAATGAAAAGAAAAATAACCGGGTGAACGTATCAATTTTAAAATTTTATGCTATGAGAATCTATCCTTTCGTTGGTACTTACGTTGGTGTGGTTCTTTGGTCCTTTCGTTGGCGGTTCTAAAAATTTTCTTTGCCCGGCCTAATTCACATTTCATTTCAAAATCATCTTGACCCCGTCAAAATGCCTATTATACATGTAAAAATAAGTTTCAGTTCTAAAGTTTTGAAGGATTGAGAAAGAAACTAAAAATAAAAGATTTTAAAAAGTAAATAAAATATTTTTTAAAAATTTTATTATAAAATGACATGAGCTTTTCTTTGCTTCCCTTTTATTTTATTTAATTTTTTTTTTTTTTATAAAGCGCAAAATTCATTCAAGTGATAAAGATAAAAAAAACTTGTAAAATAATTTTGTTACATGTGCATTAATTTATTTCAAACATCATTTGATCTTTCCTTTTTATATAATAATTTAACAAATTTTGTTAAATATTACGTACTTGTGATCTCAGCTCAGGAACCACAAGTGAAATTACCACATCATATCTTTTGATTCCTCCAAATGCGGTGTGGATATAATGCGCTAAAGCACCAAAAAAGCGAATGCGTTTCGAACGTTTTTATATTTAACATTGCACCTAGTATAACTAAAAAAAATTTTTCTTATATTAGGCTACGCTATAAGATTAAGTCAAAATGTAGATTTAGATCCGACTGATTATGGCGGCGATTACTATCCATTAAAATTAAAAAAAAATGAAAATAATTTCTGAAGCAAAATATGGATTTTTTTGCTGGGGTGGCAAATACTACAGCAGCTATTATACAATCAAGATGTGGAACACTTAATTCTAATGATGATCTAACAAGTTTCGCAACTGTTTGCGTAAGGAATTTCTAATTCCATATCCCAGACCATGGTGCTTAGGGATTGGTAACCTACACAAAGTTGCTCAAACTGTCGATGTTGTTCTTTCGTTTACTCAAAGTGTGTTTGGGAAGGTACATATCGAACAGATTCTAGTAGACTCAGCTCTCACCTTAGGAACGAGTAGTCTAGCCGGCACCTTTGGTAACAACAACAAAAGGAGAAATATTAAGTGTAGAAACCCGGTCGCTCCTTTGAATTATAATTTAAATCAAATTTGTATAATATTTGTTGTGATACTTTGTTGCATGAAATACAATTTAAATAAAATATTATAATATCTGATATTCATGCTATTTAAATATTGAAGTTTTTAAGAAATCCCTTAAATTCCACCAAAGCGATCTCTAACTTTTTCACATTGCATGTCTAGTACATGTTGAGCAAATTCGTATGCATATTGAATGAAATGTGATAACTATTATGTGTGTGCTTTATTTCATAACGAACGAACGAACAAATAATATTCAAAATCACTAACAAAATATTTTCTGAATAAAGAAACCATAAAACGTTTCAATGTTAGAAAATAAACGAACAATCATAATTAGACACGTGATATATTATCTAAGTCACAAAAAAAATAGTACCGTTGCGTACAGTTCTTTACGTTTATATTATAAACAAAGTTAATAACAAAGATATCTAAAATAAAGGAATATGTTAAGAATATAATAATAAAAGAAGAATGATCTCAATGAACTATCTAATTCCCAAAGAGAAACCATCGTTAATATATTTTTTCTTTTGTAAGGTCAATTTGGCCAGAGGTTTGGATGCTAAAGTTCACGGTCATGATCGGTCATGACCGGTCATGACCCATGATAGATATTGCTCAAAGGCTTCTGACCGACCCTGTTTTGACAACTTTGACCGACCGGGTTGACAGGCTGAATTATAAGATCTTGACTTACTGAATAACCATGTCTTAATAACCATTTGTATTTAAAAACAATTTAACAATCATTTCTATAATAGATTATTTTATTTAATTATATACAGTCAATACTCAATATAACGATGATGAAAATCTTAGTGGGAGAATAAAATATTATCGTTATATCGAATTTTTAATCGAAACATGAATTAAAATTTTTGAAATTAAAAAAAAAAAATATATAAATAATTTCCGTGATAATACTGTGCCAATTAATAATAAATAAAGTCATAAAATATATTATTTTATGTAAAGAAGATATAAATAATGCCATGCTAGCGTTTTGAAAAAAAAAATTATATTTGGCCGAATAAAAATTAAATCCAAAAAACTGTTAAATTATATACTCAGTTGGTCAAATGGCCGATTGGTCAAAGGCTTTGACCGACCGTATTCATCCCTAACCAGAGGACAATGTGCCCAGAGGACGATTCTTACATGTAGACAATTTGTCCAGGCGAAATTCTGTCTCGGAGGCATTTTTGGCCAAAGGGCAAATTGGACAATTCGATCTACAAGGTCTGATTAAATTTGACAACATAATTCTTATTACAATATGAAATAAGATGACTGATAAAAAAGGTGGGTTAATGGTTATGATAAATAAGAAATAATGGTGTTATCCTAGAAATGAACTAAAACTAAGTTAACAAATAAATCAAACTAAAGGCCATTCCTAAAATATTTAGTTAACAATTTAATTATTTCAATTTACTTGTATAGTAACTATATGGATTTATGAAAAAATTTGAAAATGTAGAAAAGAATTTTATCAATAGTTGAGATTTTGATAAGTCTGATTTAAAGGCTTATTATTACAACCGAATAACTCTGATAATATCAGTATCATAGCTAGGAAACGGAAACCGAAGTTCGGAGCAAAAAAATTAAACAAGGGTGTAGACATTTTCTTATTTCATAATTTAATTAAGAATTGAGACAATTGTAGATCGGTTTTTGCCTCCGGCCAATTTGTTATCTGTCTAAATGTCGCCTGGACAAATTGTCTATGCCAAAACGACTTCTAGAATAAAGCCCTCTTGCCAAATTATCTTTACAACAAATTTAGTATATATATGAAGGGGTTTCTCTTTGAGAATTAGATAGCAATATTTATTATACATAAAATATTCCTTTCCTTTTCATTATGATCTTTATTATCCGATAAATAAATTTTCTTTTTTTCTAAGTTTTAATTAAGCAATTTTTATCAGTTTGTTTTAATAGACGGAATTTCGGAAATATAGAATGTCGACGTTGAGGCAACACTTAAATATCCTTAAATTTGCAAGCAAATAAATAAACTAACAAGGATACATTGAAGATAATAAAATATTTTATAAAAGAATTTATTCTATAAGTATATGATGATTACATGTTGTTATACATTTTGTTTATTTTTTTTTTAACTTGAAATACTTCATATTCTTCTATAGAAAAGTAATCTTCAGTTTCTCTGATTTCTTTTTCATAAGAATTCTTTTTACAACTACAATTACATTGATTAAAAAATATTCCATTTATATTAAGATCTGTCTGACCAAATGAAGGACCGCTATAAAACCAATGTTTTATAGCATAATTTACATCTTTTACCCGACTTAAAATACAGTTTTCAATGTTTTCTTTACCCTTAAAAGAGAATATAAAACTTTCCTTAGTATTATAAAATGGTAGACTAAATGACTTTAAATTATTCCATTCAATAGGATTGTACCCTCCAAGTATTTCGTCACCACCTTTTATTTTAATGATTGTCAAAGTATGAGTTTTATTATCACAAAGTTCATGAAACCTTCCAGATTTAAACCCATCACGAGATCCACGAAGTAATAAGTTCAGTTCATATTGAATTTTTAATTCATCTTTAACATCCATTCTATTAATCCATTTCAAGATTAATTCAGCATGTTTATCTGTGATGATTTTTGAACCAATAATTGTTGAGCTCTTTTGAATTTCACTTGGTTGAGTGTCGTAGTCTAAGTAATATTTATTTAAATCCACAAATAATTCTTTTGGTAATACTTTCTTGTATGGGAGAACTCTATTCAAAAATTCCCTGGAAGTTAATTTGCGGAATCTTATAAATGGGATGCATTGTTGCAAGGTATTCTTCAAAGTTTTGAAGTCATCCTTTGTGTAGCTGGAAGGATCCGAAGAAAGTTCTGGATTTTGAGCGAGTCCCCATTTTAACACATGATCCCAAATTTGAACAGCACTCATTGAAAGTTTATCATTTTGAATAAGAGTGACCAAAGATTTTTCTGAAATTGAAACAAAATCAACGGAATTAAATAATTTTTCTGGTTCTTTTAACATTAAATTGGTACAAAATTTTTGAAGTTCCAAGAAAGAATCATGTTTAAAACTTGTCTGATATATCGAGTTAAAATTTTTTTCCATCCAATCATTTTTATTTTCAATCAAGAATAATTGTAGATGGATGACTAATTCTTGAAGACTTAATTCATTAGCGGCAATCAAGATGTTAATGATATCAGAATTATCATATCCTTCCAAAGAAAGTTTCGCTCCGTAAATGTACCTTTGAAATCAAAAAAATTTATAAAATTTAAAATATTTTGTTTACAAACACCAAAGCAAATCTATTTTTTAAATTACCTCAGGATTACATGAAAAATATCTGGTAGGATATTAGGTAACGTAATATGCAACAAAGTTCCATCACTTTTCTTTTTGTTGGTGGACAAAACTCTTTGCAAATAAGGAGAACGATAATATAAAACTACCATATGAGCACGAAATACTTTTACATATGGATCCGTTCCAACTTCAATCGTAACGTCATAATATTCATCATCCTCTAAACATTCAAGTAAATTTTGTGATAATTTCGGTAAAAACTTTACATCTGCCATTATAAATTTTTATTCTGACTTTTTTTTTAAATGTTGAGAGAGAAAGTAAACACCTCTTTTTATCAACTTTGGGAAATTAAAAATGATGATCAATGTCACATTGTCGCACAACATTAATTAATGTTTTGAAATGGTTGCTCAGCCCGTAAATGTCAAAATAAAACAAAAAATTGGTTAAACTTTGAAACATCCAAAGTTAATCATCATGTGAATTAGAAATGAAATTGCTTAGTAACAGCATTTAAATACTAAAAAACTTGATTAATGATAGTTGAATGAAATTGCCCTTGCAAATCGAAACAAATGATTTTCGTATGTTGGTATATCGAGGGATAATCAAAATATTGATAGATTGTTTATATTAGGATAAGTTTATTATTATTATTATTATTTGATCAACTAGCTAGAATTTATTCTTTTGCAGAAGTAAATCAAATATCTATTGATAAAAAATAATAAAAATAAATAAAGACTACAAAGAAGAAATGGTCTAAAGAAAATATTGATCAAACTTGTTTTTTATTATTTGCAATAACATTTGGGTAAAAATTAAATTTCGTCAATTTCTTTAATATGCATAATCCAAAATTTTTTACTTTTACATTTTCCTTTGCTAATTAATTTATTAACATTTAATAATAATCAAATACGACTTGATTTTATAAAATTCAATAAAATTCTATTGTATTATCAGTAAAATTAGAATAATCAATCTTTGTAATAATTTCATAAAAAAAAGTTTCTGATGCATCTAGGGATGTAGTCGACCGATTTTTGACCGACCGGTTTGACAGACAGATTTTGTGGCTGAACATATCATGCTTTTAATTAGCAAAAAATTTTTATTTATATTAACAATTTAACAGTCATTTATATAATATAATGATGTGGGCGAAATCCTATTTTCAAATCCTAAATATTTCGGATTTTGAGAGCTGATCCGAAATTTGTTCCTAAATTCCGTAATTTGGGCGA